GGCAAAGTGACCCTGAAAATTCATAATGTCAGCATTTCTGATGATGGAGCATACTGGTGTTCATTTAAAGATACTGACTTCAGTGATACAGCCAGCATGAATCTGAGCGTGGCAGGTAAGTGTGTTTGTGGAACATTGTATAACAAAGCGCTTTTGACACAAGAAGCTCAAATAAGAGGAAAATTATCTCAATGTGTCTTATTTCTTCTTTTCATATGCTAAATTTTTTTCAAGTACTACAAGTACTAACATAAATAAAATATGAATTTGATTTACAAATATTAAATTGCAGATCACATGACTTCTTTTCCACTTGCCAATCCAAACTCAATACAATAACTGTCTGATGGTTCTTTCTCATTTCCATCAGCACTTGGCTTGGAGACACAGATTCGTGTCCAGGTTCCTACTAGTGATGGACTCGTGGTGGAGTGTAACTCAGGAGGGTGGTTTCCACAGCCTCAAATGGAGTGGAGAAACAGCAGGGGAGAGGTCGTTCCACATTCATCAAAATCATACTCACAGGATGGAGCCAGATTGTTCCACATGAAGATGACTGTTCTCCTCAGAAACCTGTCAGATTGCAATATTACATGCTATGTTGGCAACCCTGTAATAGGTGAAGAGAAACAAGCAAGTATTATCCTAGCACGTGAGTGTTCCATCATTAGAGCTTAGTTATCAACAAAACATAAAGAGAAAACTAAAGGGATAGTTAATGTTAAGGAGCTTACTAAATTCCCTTTGAATGACTCTTTATCTTTGTTATGGGTTTCTTTATCTTTGTTATGGGTTTTGGGGTGCTACAAAGAAGGCTTTAGAATAAAAATAAACAAGAACAATAGTAATTCACAGTCCAAACATACATTACAGCTTTAAAGGCATTTAATGTTCATTACTTTGTTAGACTCTCACAATAATTATTTGTAAATTTAACAGAATTCTAGCTCAGTAACTTGATCTTTCTGAACTATAGTTTTTTCATCTTAGAAATGAATTAATCATACCTCATGGGTTTTTGCAAATTTTAAATAATTAGCAGAAGTAAAAACTTTTTCTTACTGTCATTTAATATTTAGCACTAGTACTGTTATTTTAAAAATCCTGACAATTCAATGAATGTTATGGTCATTGATAGACAGATGTTGAGAGGCCAGTAAAAGCAGTAGTAAGTGAAATGTGGAAGTAAAAGCAGTAGTAAGTGAAATGTGGAAGTAAACTACAGTTTTCCTGATTATTTGTACATTGCTCACTCTTTGGAGTCATGTTAGATGGATGTCAAAGGCCATACTCTGGGTGCAATAAAGTTACCCTTAACTAATGCCTCTATAGAGAAGTATAGGAGCAAGGTAGTGGACAGGGCAAATGTGCCTTCGGATACCAGTTCATGGAATCTTTTTTAGCCTGATTGTAAACACAGTTTTTTTCTCTTAAAAACTTCTCTAATACTCTTAAATAATTACCCTATGGACTGGAAAAAAATATTGTCCTGACCAGATAGGAGTCTATAACAATGATTTGTGGTATGCAAGAAAGTTTATAAGATTGGTAAGATTCTATAAATATTTTAAATGTAGAGCTGATGGGAGTTACCAATAGATTGAATGTGTGATGAAAAAGAAATAAAGGAAATAAGAAGGATTCCAATATTATAACCAGAGTCATGAAAGATTATTTTTCATCTACTGAGATAGGAAATTTTGTGAAATGAAATAAGACCATGCTTATAAGACTTACCAGTAAAGTGTTGATCAGGACTTTGGTGCATGAACCTAAAGTTCTGCAGAGAAGACCATGTTTGAGACATAATATGAATGTCTTCAGCCTAAAAAGAATATTTTGAAGATGCAACTGGCTAAGATCATGAAAAGAGTAACAGAACCAGGTGTTCCTTTGAAGATTATTAAGCATTTGTACTAAGATCATTTGTTAGAGACGAGAGAGACTTCTTTTCAATCTACTATAGTCTCAGTGTGAATTCTATCCCTAAGGTAAGCTTAATGTTGTACTTGCTCTTTACTTGTCACTAAACAAGCTTTATCAAAGTCTAGTTATGCTACAAATACAAAAATAAAGAAGCATAGACCTGAAGGAGTATCCTGCTTTATTAGCAGGAACTTTCTAATCCATTAGGGACACCTGTTGTGGATGTATAGATTTCAAGTTGTTCTGTCCTTTCTTTCAGATGACCTGTTTGATAAGGAGCACCTTACAAAGATGTTTTTAATTTTATTTACGTGTATAACAATCCCTTTGGTTTTGTCATATATTTGCCTTTGGTATTTCATAAGAAAAGGTAATTGATACAACAAGGGGGAGGGGAATTATTAAGGACGTTAACTTGATGGATAAGTCATATGTAGGCAAAAGTGAATAATGTTTGTCTTCCAAAGTTGGGCCTCATATGGGAAGATATTTATGGCTTGTTTCCCACTTTAGAAATGTTGAACTTCACACCTCTTAACTTCCCAAGACAAGGATGCCTTTAGGGATGAGACTGGTATAGAGGTCTTTTGAAATTTCAGATTCACAATTACTTCTGAACTCATAAATAGGATGTTAAAGGAATAACATTTACCAATAGATTGAATGCGTGATGAAAAAGAGATAAAGGAAATCAGAAGGATCCCAATGTTATAGCCAGAATCATGAAAGATAATTAAAAATTAAACATTGAAAATTGAGGGAGTACTATCCTCTTTTAAGTAGCAGTTCCTATATTTGCCAAAGGAAGAAGTAAGGGTTCTATTGTTTTAAAGTATACACAATACTTAGGAGACTTATTTCAATTGAGTGGGAAATTACACCAGGGAGAAATAACATAAAAAAGCAACAAAAACATAAAGAAAAAACAAAAAAAAATGACAAGAAGGACAGCAATGTATGTGCAGCTTTAACATATCTGGCTGTCTTTTCTGTCCTATGTTTTGCTAGCCTGACAGTTCTGCACAGCCACAGCAGAATCTGTCCTGAACACTGAAACAAAGTGGGATAAACTCATCAGGCAACTACTGTATTGTGGATAAAAGGATCTGCATTCTGAATGCCACTAGCAAACCATTGCATGAAACAAAAAGAAGCCATAGAAACAAAGAAAATGATGTTGCTTCTTTTCCCCAAATGAATCTACATGAAAGTCCTATGATTCCAGAATTTTCAGAGTAGAAACGGAGTGATGTGAAATGTCAAAGACCCCATTATTTTGTAAAGTATACCTCAAAACATTCTAATTCTGCCCATGAACTACATACTTCTACATCTCTAAGTTGCAGTTGGTGGGACCTGTGATGGTACTAGGGTGGCTCTGGCTCTGCCTGCAGGAGGAAAGCCCAGTCCCTGATGATCCACTTACACTAGATACTGACTGCACCATCCTCTTGTGAGAGGCTGGGTGCTCCAGGAAAAGCCCTGAGCTTTTACTCATAGTTAAATGCTGAGCCCCACAGTTGAGCCCAGAGAGTGTTCTGCAGGGGAATCACCATCTCAGAAACAAGTCTATTGGTGGTGGATTTGTTCAACAGTGACTTCCCTTTTTAAGTTAAGGAGTTTTAAGGCCATCTGGGTTTTTGTTTTCAGTGCCAAGGTGGAGTCCAGCCACAGGATTTCTTACCTACCCAGAGATGCTTTATGATCATTGGTGAGAGGCACTGTCTCCTTTTCACATCCAAAAGTTAAATAAGGAAAGTTTCCCAGCCACTAGGTCTGGATCTCCCTTTTCCCACAGATACTAGTAGAACACCCACATTCAGGGCCTGAGAATCTTCTTCCCTCTTGATCCACTTTAGCTCCAGCTGCTCCTACTGGACAACCTTTCAAACAGGGATCACAGATTTGTCCATGGGACCTGCCATATTTTAGGTGTCACTACTAGTTCTCAGTGTCTCTAATCAGCTGTCTACATTACTGTGTCTTCCCAATTTTGGAAAAGAGTAGCTGTGCTGTGAAGAAGCTATGAACTACTGCAAGAGTCTTGGAAGCAGGTGCTCTGTGTTTTGGGGAGGAAGATATTTCAGGAACTTGAATTCTCTGAAAGTACTTGTACACTCTCCAGATAATTAAACTTTACATTTTTTTCATTTTCTTCTGGAAGGTGATATAAATCAAAGATCAAATGTTTCATAGATGCGGGGCGCTATGTCACAGGCCTGTAATCCTGGTGGCTCAGAGGCTGAGGCAGGAGGATGGAGAGTTCAAAGCCAGCCTCAGAAAAAAAAAAGGGGGGGCACTAAGCAAATCATTAAGACCCTGTCTCTAAATAAAATACAAAATAGGGCTAGGAATGTGGTTCAGTTATTGAGTACCTCTTAATTCAATCTCTGGCACCCTCCTCCACCCCACTCCCACACAAAAAGGTTTCACAGAGAAAATATTCAATAATACATGGGAAACATTTTCACCATGTCTGTTTAGCTTGTAAGAATGAGTCCCTGGACAGGGTATTTAAGCTCAGAGGTGTAAAGGGTGTTTCCTTTACTATTTAGGAAGTAGGCTTTCTCTGGTTACTGAGTCTATGGATCCCAGGCAATTCCTTGTTTTAGCCAACTCAATGTTGGCACATTTACCCTGTCTAAGCCTGAAACTTCAGAATCTCTAGGAATCTAATGAGGATTCCTAGGACTGCTTTCCAGTCTCCCCAGCCAAATTATTTTTTTTTCTGGAGTAGGTGGCACCAATTAGAAAAAGAAATGCCTCTTAGCTCTGCAAGATCTGCACATCTAGTCTGACTAGGACTTGCCACCATCCACAAACAAAACTTGCAGACTAAGCCTTAAATTGAGTTGGCATGGGACAATAACTCTGTTTTCTTTCTTTTTTTTTTTTTTTTTTTAGATAATTATCCTTAGGCTAGAGATGTCCCACACTCCCATGTTCCTCTTTGTCAATTTAATTCTTTCTCTTCTAGAGCATGTACCTGAATGTCTACTTAGAGGTCTACCTCCATGTTGTTGTATGTTGAATTCAATACCTGCTCAATTCCTGTTTTGCTTCATATGCTCTGTGACACTTCTTTTTGCATATCTGCCATTCCGGACCAGAGGTAAATGGGGTTAGTAGTGGTGGACTCTCTCTTGGTTGCTCTTATTTTCCGAAGAGAGTGGTGGACTCTCTCTTGGTTGCTCTTATTTTCCTAGAAATCTATCTCTTGGGGTTGTTCATCCAAGGCTATGTGACACTTTCATCAGCACCAGGAGGATCTGTGTTTTGGGTGGCATTTCAGAGGATCAAATGCCAACACTGAAATTGTTTTAGGTGTCAAGGATAAAAGCTGCCTCTGACTGTTACCATTATTTTCAACAGTACAGGGGACAGATCTCCTTCTGCTACATAAAAGGAGAAATAAGCTTACTGGTTTCAGAAAATATTGTTGAATGTATTCACTCTTTAAATATTTTCTGGGTCCACTTACTTGTTGGTGAACATTGATGACTCCAAGTCAAAATTTCTTATCTATTTGGGTCTTAAAATCTGCACTAAAAATATAACGTCAAATATAAATATTATTCTTCCAATTCGAATTCTAGCATATGTACCAAGAATTTGATGCAATTTCAGGAAGTTTTTGAAACTTTTATATCCTTTTGTGGACCCATTATTTATGAAATATGGTCATTATTTAGAGGTAAAATTAATGAAGTAATATAATATTCAAAA